CATACCGAAGGCTGTGCTCTTTGATCTTCATCAGTAAATATTTTAAGTTCTCTTCACTTTCAGCAAGCAAGGTTGTATCATCTGCATATCGCAGGTTGTTAATGAATCTTCCACCAATCCTGATGCCACATTTTTCTTCATATAATCCAATTTCACAGATTATTTTCTCAGCATATAAATTGAATAAGTATGGTGAAAGAATACAACTTTGGCAGACACATTTCTAAATGTTAAACCATTCAGTGTTCCCTTGTTCTGTTTGAACAACTGGCTCTTGGTCTATGTACAGGTTCCTTATGATCACAATTAAATGTTCTGACATCATTCTCCACTATGTTGTTCATGGCTTGTCAAGATTCACACAATCAAACGTCTTTACATAGTCAATAAAGCATATGTAAACTTTTTTTTTTTTGTATTCTCTGCTTTCAGCCAAGATCCATCCGACATCAGCAATGATATCCTTTGTTTCACGTCCTCTTCTGAATCCAGCTTGAACTTCTGGAAGCCCTCTGTTTGTCAATGTATGATTGTAACCATTTTTGAATTACGTTTAGCAAAATTTTACTGGCATGTGATATTAAAGATATTGTTCCATGATTTCCACATTCCATTGGGTCACCTATCTTTGAATGGGCACAAATACGGATCTCTTCCATTGAGTTGGCCAGATAGTTGTCTTCCAACTTTCTTGGCATAGAAGAGTGAGTGCCGCTTCACTTTTTGAAAGATTTCAATTTGTATTCCATCAATTCCAAGTGCTTATGTCTTTGCCAATGATTTCAACGCACCTGGGACTTCTTCCTTCAGTATAGTTGGCCCTTGATCATATGCTAGCTCTTGAAATGGTTGAACATCAACCATTTCTTTTTGGCAGAGTGACTTTGTAGTACTTCCATCTTCTTTTGCTGTGTTGTGGATCATTCAATATTTTGCCCATGGTGGTTGATTGTGTGCCGTGGAGTCGGTTCTGACTCATAGCAAGCCTGTACAGGGTTTCCAAGGCTGTAAATCTTTACGGGAGCATAAAGCCTCATCCTTCTCCTGTGGAACAGTTGGTAGTTTTGAACTGCTGACTTTAAGGTTCACAGCCCAGTTCATAACCACTATGCTACCAGAGCTTCTTTAGAATCCTTCAAAACTGCAAATCAAGGTTTGATTTTTCTCTTCAGTTCCCTCAGCTTGAGTTCTTCCCTTTTGGTTTTCTAACTCCATGTCTTGGCACATTTCCTTATAATATTTAACTTTGCCTTCTCAATCTGACCTTTGAAATTTTCTACTCAGCTGTTTTAGTGCTTCATTTCTTCCATTTGTTTTAGCATCTATTTTCCGGAGAATAAGTTTCAGAGTTTCTTCTTACATACATTTTGGTCTTTTTCTTCTTTCCTTTTTTTTTTTTTTTTTTTTTTTAGTTTTTATTGTGAATTATGTGATAGTTTACATGGGAGGACACCAGCTTTATATTCATCTTAATAGTTTACATGGGAGGACACCAGTTTTATAACCATTGCGTTTCATTGCAATGATTACAATCTCCTCCATGCATCATCAAACAACCAAAAGTTACATGCTGAAAGTCTGCCCCCACGGCCATCAGCACACAACCCTCTCCCTCCCTGAGTCCAGAGTCCCCAGCTGCTCCATATCTCCATGTCACTGTCTCTGCCTCCATTTCTGGCATCACAGCTTCTCTGGGTAGGGTCCTGTACTCCACTCTTCTCACCTGATGGTCCTAGGGACCTCCGCTCCTGGACTGCAAAATCAACCACTCCCCTCCTTTTGTTACAAAACATCTATCTTTACATTTCTGACCCTCACAGTCAGTCCTGATAGCAATTATTCACTATTGTACCACAAGAGTCTTAACCCCATCTCCTTTCATCAGCTCTATCCCAACAGATTGGAAACCACTCAGTGGAGATTCTACCTTCCCACGCACCTTCTGGAACTAGGCTCCCTCTTGAAAGCTTGTAAGCCAGTCACTTCTTGCCTTTGTAGCCCCCCCCCCTTTTTTTGGGGGGTAGTCAATGTCTAAGTTGCCTATCCCTGTCAACCCTGTGTACTGAGGGGGTGGGAATGATCCTCACTGTAGAGTCCCGTGTCCCAATCAATTCTGAAATCACAATATTTTCCTTTATACAATTATTTTTCCACCGGTGGGTATGGTAAACTTATGCCCTGCACCTTATACTAGATCTAGAGCTCTGGGGCTGCTCCATGAAAGCATCTTCTCTGGGTTTTCCGCACCTCCCCCACACAGCCTATCCTACCTGACTCTGCTTCTCCTGCCTCCAAAACCAGAGGTTTTCTTCTTAATGACCTTTTGTTTTCTTCCTGTATGATGTTCTTCCTGTATGATATTGTCCCATAACTCTTCAGGTCTTTGGTCATTACTGTCTAATGCATTAAATCTGTTCTTGAGATCGTCTCTAAATTCATGTGGGTTATGTTCAAGGTCATATTTTGGCTCTCGTGGACTTGTTTAATTTTCTTCAGCTTCAACCTGAACTTACACATGAACAATTGATGTCTGTTCCATAGTCTGCCCTGGCCTTGTTTTGGCTGAGGTTATGGAGCTTTTCCATCTTCTCTTTCCACAGATGTAGTCAATTTGATTTCTGTGTATTCCATCTGGTGAGGTATATGTGTATTTATCGCCTTTTATTTGTTTAAAAAAGATGTTTACAATGCAGAAGTCATTGATCTTGCAAAATTCTTTCATGCGATTTCTAGCATAATTTTTATCACCAAGGTCATATTTTCTAACTATTGATCCTTCTCCAGTGTTTCCAACTTTTGCTTTCCAGTTGCCAGTCATTATCAATATCTGAATGCAGGTTTGATCAAATTCAGACTGAAGAAGTTGGTATAATTCTTCAGTTTCATCATCATTGGTTTTATTGGTTATTGCGTAAATGTGAATAATAGTTGTATCAACTGCTCTTCCTTGTAGTCATATCATTATTACCTGTCACAGATACCATTGTACTTCAAGACAGAGTTTGATATTCTATTTTTGCTGATGAATGCAACGCCATTCCTTTTCAATTTGTTATTCCTGGCATAGTAAACCATGTGATTGTCAGATTCGAAATGGCAAATAGCAGTCCATTTCAGCTCACTAATGCCTAGGATATTGATGTTTATGCGTTCCATTACAGTTTTTACTATTTCCCATTTTCCTAGATTCATACTGCGTACATTCCAAGCTCTGATTATTAATGGATTTTTACAGCTGTTTCTCTTCATTTTGAGTTGTGCCCCATCAACAAATGATGGTCCTGAAGGCTTTACTCTATTCACATATTCACGGTCAACTCTAGTTTGAGGAGGCAGCTCTTCCCCAGTTGAATTTTTAATGCCTTTCAACCTGAGGGGCTTATCTTCTGACACTATATCTGATAATATTCTGGTGTTCCTCATCATGTTTCAGTATTCACTATTCAGGTGCTGACAGTATTCCACTATTATTCGTAAGTTTGTCAGTGACTAAATATTCTCAAGTAGTCTGTCTTTCCTTCTTCATACTCTGTCTTTGTCTGGAATCTCAGCTGAAACCTGTCCACCATGGGTGACCCTGAAGGTATTTAAAATACCCATGTCATTGTTTCCAGAATCACAGCAACTTGCAAGCCACCATAGTATGACAAAATGACAGACGAGAAGTGGTGTATGTCAAATTATATGTTATTAAGAGACACAATCTTTCTCTTCTCTACAGAAAGATAAACAGCCCAGAATATGCTCTTAAGAAGACATAATTTATTGTAATCAAATAAACTACACTTTCTTTAAGGAAAAGACAGCCTGTGTACAATACAAAAACCTCAACTATATTAGTGCACCATAGACTATTCAATATAAAGTGGATCATATAATAGTTCTTTTGCAACTTTAGATATTACAGACAGTTCTCCTATGATTGGAAACTGGAGCGGAATCCCAATATTTTCCTCTAAAATGCAATTGAAAAGTGAAAGAAAGTAAGGGTGAGGGTACAAAACATTCCCAAAGCAGCCGCCAGAGCTTTAACCTCTTAAGTACATCATCATCAGCATTGGAAGGTCAACCACTGACCTAAATGGTCTTGCCTGTGAAATGAAAGGTTATTCAGAAAGCTTTGCATTCTGCCTTACAGCAGTCAAAATCGTGTCAATATATGGCCAGTGGAGAGTGTTTTAGAGGATGAATTCAGAATATGATGCATAAAACCTTGTCAAGAAGATAGCAGTGTACCAAACAACAAGGAGACAGATTAGCATGCTATTGTGTGTTACTTTCAGGATCTCCCAAGAGGCCGAAAACGAGCCTAAACCTTGGTCATAAACCTTGGAAACTGCTCTTGCAGAACTGTCACAAATTTAAAAGGAATATAAAGTCACCTATTTGACAAATGTTGAGAGACAGAAGGATATTGGATAATTGAATGTGTTAGCTTCACTGATTTCTTCCTGGGCATCTTACTTAGAGGGTAGGAAGGTGCATATACTGTGGTAAATATAACCAGAGTGAACAAACATCCATAATTCATACCTTTATTAAAAAATAGCACAGGAGTTTCCATCTGAAGATGGGAATTTTATCTCTGGACTTGTTGTCATAACCTTTTGTATCACTTTTGTTTTTTGTTAATTTTCCAAAAGTTAAACTCTTTGTGATTGTGCTTTAAAGTATCCTTCACAAGATTTTGGTACTGGTGAGTGTTACACAGAAAAAGTATGTGTTCATTATCTCTGAATGAATTCTTGAACCCATAGATAGCTACTATAAAAAGGTGTGCTCTTGGTATTGGTCAATATCATGGTGGATTAGAACAAAGAGAAATAGAGAGACCGGATTTTTTTATTCTTTGCTGGCTAAAAATAGCATTTCATGATGCTAGGAGAGAGTCAAATATATTAATCTTCTCTTGTTGGCACCAAAACCAAAACTATGATACAAAAAATAAAGTTCTGCTTACATTCTAAAAGTGTATAGTCTTCTTCTAAAACCTAGCAATAATGAAGTCTACTGCTGTTCATGGAGTTTCAATGCACACTGAGTTTTTAAATCAAAAACTTGCAAAAGCAGGAGAAAGGTTCCATCTCAAGAAGACATGTAATCTCTTGTCAGAGACTGTGAGTACAGGACATTTGAGTGATGTTCTGAGAAGCACTTGAATGGGAAGACAAGAGTATTGGGTTCTAATTTCTTAGCAGCAGAATAGTCATTTTAGGTATTTTTTCCCCCTTTCTCTTTGTTTCTTCTCTCCTGTGGAAATTGGAAAGAGTTCCAGTTTTTAAGACAAAATTCCACGAGAAAACAGCACGGATTTTACATTGAACTCTGCTGGCCTATAAAGCACTTGGTTTAACAAAACTTTCTTTCAATTGAGTGACTACTCATAGCCGATATCATCATGGAGGTTATTGCACTATATTAGGTCTTATCATGGGAGATGACTATGTCTTTACTACAAAACACTGAGCAAACTGGTCCAGTCATGTTGGCAAACAATCTTAATTATCACAACTGTAATAGGTTAACTCTACTCAGCCCTTGTTTATTTCCACATATACTTGCAGAAGAAATTTCTTTAAAACTACATAAACACAACAAAATAGTACTGGGTATAAATGAGTGAATGAACTGAACTATTTCATTTAATGAAAAGTATAGAACATTTTACATACAATTAATTAATATGACAATGTTGTTGTTGTTAAGTGCAGTCGAGTCTAGGAGGGGCTTTAAAATATTCAAAGAAAGTGGAATTAAAAGACAATGAAGTCATTCCATGAGCCTTTTGAAGCCCTTTGTATATCCTAAAACAAATCACTTATTTGTAAGCTTCATACACCCTCGGAAACCCTGGACAGGGTCGCTATGGGTCGGAACCGACTCGACGGCACTTAACAACAACAACAACAACAATGATGGAGTCAGAAAAACAAAAGGGAAGAACACTCTCAGCATTTCTCAAGATGAGGGAACTGCACAAAAAAAATCCAAGCCTTGGCCACCGGCGCCGGCGCCAGGTTGCTGGGCAGCAGCGCAGCTCTTGAGCGGCGGGTCCTGCTCTGTGTCTCCACCTCCTCCCATCAGTGACGAGGTTCACTACGTAAATCTCATCGCGGCAGGATAAATAAAGAAGAAATCTGGAAGGAGGAAAACATTGATAACAAACGTCTTAATAATGAGCAAATGTGGCAGGGAAAAATTTATTAAGACAAATCTAAGGTTCTGTAGCTGGATCAGGCACCAGAAGAGGCTCCCCAGCTGTAACTCTAGTGCAGTTACCTTCGGGCCAAACTGTACATGTACAGGGAGTCATTCCGACACCACAGCCATCGGTTATTCACTCACCACAAATACAAACTGTTCTGGTAGGAACCATTGCAGAGACAGATGAGTCTGCAGAATCAGAAGATGTAATTGATTCTCATAAATGTACAGAAATCCTTTCACGAAGACCCTCTTTTAGAAAAATACTGAATGAACTTTCCTCTGATGTTCCTGGTATTCCCAAGATTGAAGAAAAATCAAAGGAAGAAGGCACGCCACCTCACATTGCTACCATGGCAGTACCGACTAGCATTTATCAGACTAGCACGGGCCAATACACCGCCACTGGTGACATGCCAACTTACCAGATGCAAGCACCTACTACGGCCTTGCCACAGGGAGTAGTGATGGTTTCTTCACCAGGAAGCTTGCACAGTCCCCAGCAGCCAGCAGAAGAAGCAACACGCAAACGAGAGCTGAGGCTAATGAAGAACAGGGAAGCTGCCGGGGAGTGTCGCAGGAAGAAGAAAGAATATGTCAAATGTCTTGAAAATCATGTGGCTGAGCTTGAAAACCAAAACAAGACTCTCATTGAGGAACTCAAGGCCCTCAAAGATCTTTATTGCCATAAAGCAGAGTAACTGTCTTTAGCTTGGACCTTGTTTACTATGAACTCTAATCAAGGCAGGAGATGCAGTAATTCTACTAATTGCCATGTGGACTTTTGGAAGGGACACTTGTGACCCTTAAGAATCCAGTTTGACATAGTGTTTGAAATTGAATTGGGAATGTTGTTCCAAGATTTGGAATGCAACCATGATCACATTTACCAAGTTTACTTCAATCTGTTTGTCAATAGCATGCACAAAATGTTTTGTTTGTCCTTTGGCTTCTACTTTTTCCAGGGAAGCTGCAAAAGAATGTCGACATGGAAAGAAAGAATATGTAAAATGTCTGGAGAGTCAAGTTGCGGTGCTGGAAGTTCAGAACAAGAAGCTTATAGAGGAACTTGAAACCTTGGAAGACATTTGCTCTCCCAAAACAGATTAGTAGAAATTTTTAACTATGAATTGATTACAACATGTACAGTTGCTTTTGAAGGCAATACATTATATAGCTGGCAAGAATTATGGCTTTTTTTCCTTTTGTATCATTCATCGTATTCTCTAATCTCTAACATTCCTAAAATGCTTCACTGTACTTAGTTGACTGTTAACTGTAGCTTCTATTTTTTTAAAAAGAGACAAACTGTAAAAAAAACAACAAAAAAAGAATGTAACAGATTGTTAAAATGCACATTTGTAAGACTTGTTCTAATGCCACATGTTTTGCAGTTACCAATCTCTGTGTCATGGATAGTGTCCTATGAAATAAAATATTTTGCAGGTCTTCAAAAATTATTTTAGGGAAGGATGATCAAAGATAATACATCTAGCAGTACAATAAAAGTAACCATAAAAAGAAAAATACCTCAGGAAAGAATGAAAAGAAAGTCTATACATGCCTATAGGAGAACAGTAGCCTACAAATGAATTTATGGCATTTGCAAATTTTATGAGTTTATTTGTAAAGAAAAAATATTGTATTGCTGTTCTTGAATGCCACAGTTAAAGAGAATTTTTAATAGAACCATGTTGGTTGTACTTTGTAGTGTTTGGTGCACATCTAAATATCTGAACATTTACTACCATTTTTACTCTATTGTATAATATAAAAGGTCTTGTAGAAGTCTCTAGTGTCTGATTGATAATACCTAATGAAAGTTATAATAAATTTTCATGCCTGGAGTAAGTACAAAGCTTACTAGAATTGTATTTAAGTACCTTCAGGGCTAAGAGCCAATCCCCACACTGGACCATGATCTTTGCCAATGCTGTTTCTGTTGTACCCTAAGAAGTATGGCGCCAGAGCTTGTCACATGGAGGAGAAAAAGTTTAATCCTACATGCAGCTGCATGTTCAGGAGAAGCCCTTTCTGCACATGGTCTAGGGATCTCCTGCTTCTGATCCTCTGTTTTGAACTTTCACTAATAACTACAGGAAATAACCTAAGATTTCATATTTTGTTTCCAAAATGCTTGATGTCCATATTAGATTAAATGTTCTTGTGTCAGGAAAAAAAAAAAAAATCCAAGCCTTGGATTCTCTGGGGAAATTATTGAATGAATGATGCAAAAATCATAAAAAGAAGATGGAAGGAATACACATAGTCATTGTACCAAAAGGAATTGGTTGACGTTCAAACATTGCAAGAGGTAGCATATGATCAAGAGCCAACAATACCAAAGGAAGGAGTCCAAGGTGCATTGAAGGAAATGTCAAAGGACAAGGCACCAGGAATTGATGGAATAAAAATTAAAATCTTACAAGAAAGTGAGGTGGCACTGGAGGTACTCACTCATCTATGCCAAGAACTTTGGAAGACAACTATCTGGCCGAACTGATCAGAAGAGATCCATATTTGTGCCCATTCCAAAGAGAGGTGACCCAACGGAATACAAAAATCATTGGACAATATCTTTGCTATCCCATATGAGTGAAGTTTTCCTAAAGGTAATACAGAAACTTCTACAAGCATACCCTGACAGAGAACTTCCAGAAGTTCAAGCCAGTTACAGAAGAGGATGTGGAATGAGGAATATCACAGCTGATGTCCAATGGATCTTGGCTGGAAGTAGAGAATACCAGAAAGATGTTTACCTGTGCTTTATTGACTATGCAAAGGGTTTCAATTATGTGGGCCATGACAAGCTATGAACAACATTGCAAAGTATGAGTAGTCCAGAACACCTAATTGTGCTCATGAGGAATCTGTACATGGACCAAGAGGCAGTTGTTCAAACAGAACATGGGAACATTGAATGGTTTAAAATTAAGAAATGTGTGTGACAGGGTTATATTCTTTCACCATACTTATTCAACCTGTATGCTGAGAAAATAATCTGAAAAATTGTACTGTATGAAGAAAAATGTGGCATCAGGATTAGAGGAAGACTCATTAAAAATCTGCGATAAGCAGATGATACAGCCTTGCTTGTTGAGAGTGAAGAGGGTTTTAAATACTTACTGATGAAGATCAGAGTCTTCGGTATGGAATGCATCTCAATGTAAAAAACAAACAAACAAAAAAAAAAAAACTCCTCACCACTGGACCAATAAACAACATTCTGATAAATGGAGAGAAGATTGAAGAAGTTATCAAGGACTTTTATTCTTTGATAAACTATCAACACTCAGGGAAGCAGCAGTCAAGAAATCAAATGATGTATTACATTAGGCAAATCTGCTGCACAGAACTTTTTAAAGTGTTGAAGATTAAAGATGTCAGTTTGAGGACTAAGGTGAGCCTGACCTAAGCCATGGTATTTTCACTAACCTCATATACATGTGAAAGTTGGATAGTGAATAAGGAAGACCCTAGAAGAATTGATGAGTTTGAGGTATGGTGTTGGAGGAGAAGGACGATTATTGTAAAAGCTTAAGAAAAAATACCCACACTAAAAGGGAAAAAAAAAAAAAAATCTTTGTTGGTTACAGGGGTGTAGGGAGGGGGGGCGAGGAGAGAGAGGGAAAGGTGGAGAACAGGGTAGGGAATAGACACATGATAGTTTGGGTGTTGGGGGTGCAATACACAAGAAAGGGGAGGGAAATGGAAGAACAAGGCGGATGGGAGAACATTTAGGCAGGTTTGCATGGGACAAATGGGACAGAGGTAAATAGTGATGTATGCTTTTGGAACAACAAGGCTCTGTGATACAGGGATTGAGGCATGGTTTGAATGGGTGAAGAGGGAAAATAATGTTAAGATGCATGACTATCTTAGTAATCTTAGTTTCCCTTGCCTACTATTGTAAAATAGACACTTGAGGGTGAGATAAAGGAATATCCAGAAACATCACTATAGAAAGTTTGTAAGCCTGTCTTCAGCCTATAACTTATTGGAATATGTAAAATGGGCCTGGAACTTGCCCAGTGAAAAAGGCTTCCTGTGGAGCCTTTGTATTGCATAAGACCATAGGTAGAATCCTGATCCCCATCTAGAATCTTCTGAGGTGGGAAATTTCCACTTGAAAAGACAAGCAGACCAGCCTGGATCAGCTAGAGGAACAGAAGATACTTCTTGAAAGAAAGACCAGCAGGAAAAATAAAAAACAATAATGGTAGTCTGATTGACTACTACAAGAACAAGCAAATTGTTCACCAGGGAACCATCAAGGCAAACAATCAAGTCTCCTCAGAGCAAACCCCCTTCTGAGACTGAATTTGGAGGGAAAACACAAGCAGGCATGTAATCTTGCTGGTGACTATGTTGGTCTACCAATAAGGGGAAGTGGGAGAAAAACAGCAATGAATCTGAGAGTATAGTCCGACCACATTCAATAGACTCCTCTCAGCCTAGATCACGAACTGGATGGCCAGCAGTATAAGGAGACCAGGGGACTCCTGAGCACATGGACAGGGACATAGTCACAGAGGACTAGAGCAGAGAGTTAAGCACTCAGCTGATGTTAAGTGAAAGGAGGTGCACAAGAACACCCATGCTTATAGATAGTACCCATTTGAGCTAGCTTCAATGGCTGGATAATTAGAACTCGACTAGAGGAAGAAAGAAGAGGGAAAACAATGTAATCCACTACAATTTAATGAACTTGATCTATATGTATGGATGTAGTAGATTAAAGGAGGGAACAAATCTTTGCAGCAAGGATCATTCCCACCCCCTCTGTACACAGGGTTGACAGGGATGGGTAACTTAAGACATTGACTACCCAAAATGTAAGGGAGGGGGGGCTAACAAAGGCATGAAGTGACTGGCTTACAAGTTTTCAAGAGGAAACTTAGTTTGAGAAGGTGCTGGGGAAGGTAGAATCTCCACTGAATAGTTTTCAACCTGTCTAGATGGGACTGGTGAAAAGAGGTGAGGATAAGACTCTTGTGGTTCAATAGTGAATAATTGCTATCAGGACTGAATGTGAATATTGCAAATGTAAAGGTAGATGTTTTATAACAAAAAGAAGGGAGTGGCTCATCTTGCAGTCCAAGAGTAGGGGACCCTGGGACCATCAAGGAAGAAGAGCAGTGTTTGGAATCCTATTCAGAGAAGCAGCAACACCAGAGATAGAGGCAGAGACAATGACACAGAGACAGAGTGACTGGGGACTCCAGACTCAAGGAGGGAGAGGGGCTGTGTGCTGGTAGCTGGGGGGATGGCATGCAGGGTATCAGTGTATACCCTTTGGTTGTTTGAATAGTTATATATACCTGAGTGCTTCGGTGTACATCCAAAAAAAACCACAGAGGGATTGGAAGAAAATGCTGTTGGATGATGACACATGGAGGGGATTGAAATCATTGCAATGAAATGAAATATGATAGGATGAATGTAAAGCTGATG